AGGCAGTGGTTCTCAACATGTGAGTCTCACATGTAAAACATATTCCCAAACATAACTTCTGGCATTAGATATACTGCACTTCACTCCTCCTAAAAGGCATATCAGCATGGGAGAGAGTGAGAGTGATGTTACCACAGAGATAACCTTGAAGTTGTTCTAAATATATTTTTAAATGTAAATTATTTGCAAGCTTCAGTACTTCAACTGTGTTTAGTAACAAATACTTATGACATGTCTCACTCCTGACCTGTGTCACAACACTATAATTGAGTAGTACTGTTTCATGCTACTTCTGAAGAACAAAATTTTCCCGAAGTATAGAAGTCATATTAATATTAACCATGGCAGAAATACTATTAAAAATACATGTAATCATCCCCAAGGTTACTTTAGGGACTGTGGTTTTGAAATTGATTTCTGTTCACAATATATGTTGATGTACTTCACAGGCTTATACTCAGAGCTGGCCAAGACATTCATTAGTTCAATCATTAGTTCTTCATATTCTCAACATACGAAGTTCACGTGAGAACCACTGACCTAATGTAACAGATCACAAATACAGACATCTATGGATGTAGAGAACAAACTTACAGTTACCAAGGGGGAAGAGTGGGTGGGAGGAGTTGGGAGATTGGGATTGACATATATACACTACTGTGTATAAAACAGATAATTAATGAGAACCTACTGTATAGCACAGGGAACTCTACTCAATGATCTGTGGTGACCTAAATGGGAAGGAAATCTAAAAAAGAGGAGATATATAACTGATTCACTTTGCTGTACAGCAGGAACTAACACAACATTGTAAAGCAACTAGACTCCAGTAAAAATAAATAAATAAATAAGTAAACTAATACAGACATCTGACACATTTCAGTCAACCAATATGTAATGAGATCCTTTGACAGCTGCAGTTCTAGGGGTAAAGATGAATAGCCAGGGCTCTGGCCCCCTAGGAGCTCACAGCCTAGTAAGACAACATACAAATAAAATAATTTCAATGTAGTGCGATTAAGAAAAATGGTGGACATGAACACAATGTGTTATGAGCTCATGGGAAAGTAAGCGAGTCCACAAGGGAATGATTAGCGAAAGCTTTGCAAGAGAGAGAGTACACTGAGCAGCTACCCAGTGTCAGTAACTGTACTAGCTGCCGCTAGCCACAGAAAACTGTTAAAAACAGCATAGCGCCTGACAGTAACTTACAGTCTGGTGCACGGGGCAGATCCATTAATCTGAATCTCAAAGGCAAATGGAAAGTCAATGAACTGTGTTGGTGCCCTGGACCTATCTCCCTCCTAACCAGGCCTCTCACCTTCACCAATCTGTATGTACTCTCTTGTTCTTCTGTGCTAGATACTTCAAGGAATAACCCCTTACTACAAAATTCTCTCCTATTTGGGAACAGGAACACAAACATAGGTATTAGATATGAGAGGACATATCTTTATATGACCCTGACCCCCTAGAAATAGCTGATTGTTACATAAGTAGATATCTGACCCAAACTGTACCATTCAATGCTCTTTTAGTATTTGAAATTCTAAACTGAGATGCACAGGGACTTGGAAGTGACCCACAGTGATAGCAACACCCTATGAAGAATGACCACAAACTCCTGTCCCACAGGAAACCCATACCCACCCTGCCTTCTACTCTTTCCACATGTTGCTTATTGCACTCCCTTCAATTCTGTAAGAACTCTCCCAATCCCCTTCCATCTGCTAAGGCTGGCCAGAGTCAGTTCTCTGCTTATAATCCAAGAAACTTTCATACATGTCACCAATCCACATAGTCTCCCAAGTCTTACACCAGTCTAACTGTATTTTCCTCTGATCAACAATTTACTGAGAAATTAATCGTTCATAAATCTTAGTATGTTATCTACCCCCCCCCCAGAGAGGTAATAGTTTGCGGGGACTTGTGGAGATACAAGTTGAAATGCAGAGATTCACGATGGTGACATCCCCACGCCACCCTTCTTTCTGCTACTGAGTCAGTTCTTCTTGTTAAGATCTCCTTACTTCTGAGTAAGCCTTAGAGAAATGAAACATCTTTCACGACTCTAACTGCACCATCTCTAGCACTTACCTAAGAGGTTTGAAGGAGAATTTTAGAACTTAAGTTTTTAACCTAAAACCCAAAGCAAAATCATTAATGAAAAAGCAAGTTTGGGATTTCCCTGGCAATCCAGTGGTTAAGACTCCAGGCTTTCATTGCAAGGGGCATGGGTTCAATCCCTGGTGGGGGAACTAAGATCCCACATGCCTTGGAGCATGGCCAAAAAAAAAAAAAAGGAAAAAACAAGTTTGTCCCTAAATAATTCTACGTACTCTTAGAATTGACCCTCATATCCTTTCTAGATTCATTTCTTTCATCAGGCACACTAGTAGTAGCAGTAGCAGGAGTAGTAGCGGTGGTGGTGGTGGTATTTGTCTTCTTTCTATTCCTAACAAACCCACAAGAAGGAGGGACTTGACCTTCATTCGGGGAGTTAATTGACAAGGATGGATCCGTCCAGAACTACCCTCTTTCAGGTGCTAGGAGAAAAAGTCCCTTGCTAAAGTTACATTAAAAAAATTTTTTTAAACATAGGCAACAGATTAGAAAAGCCTTCTTTTGGGGGCAAAGAAGAGAGTTTTCAGTAATTGAATATTAGCTATCTCGATTATCAGAAAAGCATTTCCTATCATTTCTCTCCTCTGTTCTCAGTATTTGCTACTACTGGGGAGACATTTCTATCAAACTCAGAATAAAATAGAGTGGCATATCAAATTAAATAATACCCCAAAGAGTTATTTATCTTTTCCAAAGATTGAACATTCAACCCAAAGTACATCTTCAAACCCTGCCTCTAAACAGGCTCCCTTCTTTTCTCCAGCTACTGCACACCTCAGTAAGAAATGTGTGTGTATGAAGGAGGGGGGCGTGGGGGGGGGGAGTATGAGTTTATGTGTGTGTTTGTTTTATTCCAAGTGCGTGGAGTAAGACATTTAATGAACACCTGAAAACTGGAGCTGGCAAATGACAGCAGATGCTCCATAAATATATGTTCAATGAATGAACAAGATCTATACCCTTTCTAATAACATTTTAAAGTAATATATTGTCCTTCTTCCTGATAAGCTCATACCTTTTAAGAGAGAGACCAGCATCAGCAACAACTATTCCTGAAATTTCATACCATCTTAGTCATTTCAATAAATTAATAGCTTGAATTGGTACCATGGGTTTCCATGAAGGTGTCAAGGCATTTGATGTGTTTTAGCTCCTGGGCAGAATGAATTAAGTTTTTAAAACATGTGCCTCACTGAGAAATTAGTCTACTAATACCATATTTTGATTGTAAGTAATTAAGGATTGTAGGTGATCTTGGGAAAATATTACTTTTAGCTAAATTGAAAATAGGATTATAAAGGAACAGAGATGATATATTTCATTTTAAATGAGGCGAGTGACTTATTCTTGGGTTAAAGACCCAAGTTACTTTCTGTTCCAGTATCTCTCACATGTAATAAAATGGTGCAGTCTACTTTAGCTCCTGTGCATGGCAATCTCTATGAGTAAGGCTAATTAATTTCTCTGTGAAGTATAATTAATCATCTCCATCCTACTGTTTCAGGGAAGTTCATCTACAAAAGGCAGTGGAACTACTGTTCATGGCAACTAATAAAGGCTTTCTTTCATCGAAAGATCTTCCAAAACAATTAGCAATTGATGAAAGGCCTGCAAGTGCCCAGAAATTGCAGATGCTCAATCAATTTCAAATGATATGGCCTTTAGCTATCCAACCAGCAAGAGAAGTAATAATAAAATAATTAGTTTTAAAAGCTACGGAACACTGGTAAGAAAAATTGTAAGAAGGAAATCAGTTACCCGTGTATAAAATTCAATGTAAATGTTAGAAACATAAATTAAAATAAGGATATAATTGCAAAACAAGTAGAGAAAGAATAAATTAAGAGAACATAATAGTGATTTATGTTTTCTATGTTCAGCTTTTGTCCCTAAACCCAAAGTGAACAGTTTTTATTCAGAATATTTTATACTTATATTTATCAGAAGTAATTGATCTGGTTAGAAAATTGACCTTTATTTAAACTGCCCATTTTGCATGCATTAAAATCAGATTTTTAATTTCATGAAATCATAATTTCTCAAGTACTGAAAATGCTTCCCTCTTATTCAAACTAATTCTCACCCCTATTAATAAGGCTTTTTTGCATTTGGTTTGTAAACATGCATTTGTAATATACCAGAAACTTTCACTGAATCATTTTTAAACTAAGTTGCTACCTGGAAGGCATTGATAGCATTGTGATAGATCTATCAACAAACAGAAGATTATTTATACGATTCTCTCCAACCCTTCTTGTAGTATCTTGGGTCAGGACCTCTTGTTCAATTCTCACACCAGCTCTGCTAGTCAGTTCTGAAGGGTTCCCTTTCAGTTCTAACCCATGAGCAATCCCTAAATTCCATCAAAAAATCAACATGAGGGCTTCCCTGGTGGCGCAGTGGTTGAGAGTCCGCCTGCCGACGCAGGAGACACGGGTTCGTGCCCCGGTCCGGGAAGGTCCCGCATGCCACAGAGCGGCTGGGCCCGTGGGCCATGGCCGCTGGGCCCTGTGCCTCTGGAGCCTGTGCTCCGCGATGGGAGAGGCCACGGCAGTGAGAGGCCCGCGTACCGCAAAAAAAAAAAAAAAATCAACATGATATGTACCAGAAAATTAATCAAGACATCAGATTTTGTTTAATGATGAAGTATTTTCTATCTTAGAGAATAGTTTGTCTAATATGCTACTTATCAAAAATATATCTTGTTTCTCTTATGTATTCTTATATCTCTGAAATTATATCTTATTCATCTTATTCTGTCCATTCATCTTTGGAGGCCTGAGTTTAAAGCTGTTTCTCCCTTACATGGACAAGCATGTCGTCTATAATGAAGACTCTGCAGGGTGTCCTCACAGACATTTTTGTCTGCCTCATACCTCATCTTGGATGTCCATTCTGTAATAGATCCTCCCGACATTCCTCTGTTGACAGAGCATCAGCCCACTGATGGAATTAGATTATCACTCCATGGACAAGCATCTCTGACTGAAACTCTGGAAACCAAATCACAGAACACTAAGAATAAACAGACTAGTTTCTCATATTGTATGTGACATGCAAAATACAGTATATATTTCTACTCTTATTAAAATGGAAAATTTTCCTTCACCTGGTCAAGGCCAATTAGTTACAGTTAAGCCACAGTCTTCTGTGACATGTAACAGGTCTTTCAATAAAAGGACAGAATCATAAGCTACTTCTCAGCTGTGACATGCTGTCTAGGCTCTGGTATGCCTCAAGTTGGAAAATATGCCTTTCCCTTCACAAAGAGAAATACCACATGCCACAAAGTCTGTGAACCCAGTATGCTTGCTTATCATGGTGTTCTGAAACTGAAAATTACCTATTTTAAAGTCATATGTTATTAAAATATATCTTTATTTAATTTTATAAAGGCTTCCCTTAATAGCAATTTATTCAGTGCTGGAATAATCCAAAACAACTGCTATTCCTTCAACTAGTCTATGGTATTTTATTTTTAAATCTCAGGTAACATGTCCTTGAGGTGAATTGCTACAGCTATCTAGCTATCTTCAGACTTTAGACTGAATGCTCAGAGCAGGTATTCTCAAACTTGTCTTCACACTGGAATCACCTAGGAGTTTCAAAAAATACCAATGCCTGTGTTCTACCACCAGAGGTTGCAAATTAATTCGTCCCAGTGTGGTCTGAGCCTGGGAATTTTTAACTATCCTTAGATGATTTAATGTGCAACCAAGTTTGGGAATCACTGGTTTATAAGAATATTGATTAACATACCACCATGTGGGCATTAGATAAATAATTACTGCATCCCATTATTATCTGACAAGATCAGAGAATGACATTCAGATAATTAACCTTACTAGTAATTGTTACAACATATTAAAATGCTGAGAGCTTTACCAACATATTTAAGCCTCACAGCATTCCTGCAAGGTAGGTATTATTATTCTTACTTCATAGATAGGGAAAGTGAAGATCAGAAAGTCTAGATCGTTTACCCAAAGCCGCCAATTAATAAATGGTGGAGCTGGTACTTGAACCCAAGTCTGTTTGACAATAAAAGACCTGTTCTTTCCACTATGCCAAACAGTTTCACAGGAAGCTGTATCACCTCCAAGGAAGTGAAAATTAGTTCTTGAAGGTCAAAAAATTCTTAGATATTACAATGATCTGTGGTCCTCCAAAGTTCAACTCTGCTGACACAGTCTTATTCTTTAATTTCTCTCACTGGATAAAATTTAAATTTAATTTCATTTTTCTACTTAGGAGTACAATAATGAGAAAAAAAAGTTCCAGAAACACTCTACTATATCATGTTCTGTCTCCATCCATTTTGGTTAATAATGAGTTAACATGTGTACTACTCACATACCACTTGCATTTTATCTACTATACCAAATACCTGTAGAGAAAGTGGCTCTCTCAACAATTTTACAATTCCCAAGTTGTACTCAGAGTTGAAAAGAAACATAGTACAAATAAAGCTATATATGTCATAGGTCCCCAGAATGCTAATGATGGGAGAGGAAATAGTAAGTCCAAAGAGTATTATCTAAGAGTCTTTATAAATATCTATTATATAGCTACTCCAGCGTCATAGGAGTAGGTTGTTGGTTTGCAAACTTGGGAGTTTCCAGGTGAAATCTAAGATTAGCCCTTGCACATGAAGGGCAAGGAAAGACCAAGAAAAAGGTAGACCACTTAAGATTGGGAGGTGGCAGGTTTAATAAGCAAGGGAACTCACTTACAAGGCTTATCTTGTGCATTGGTAAGACAAGTACATCTCCACACCTGTCCACCAGAATCTTAAAAGTTTATATAGAGGCCTTAACTGAGTTTAGTCATGTATACCATCCGGATGATCTCAACAACACTGTCTAAATGCTGTGGCCCGGAGACAACTTCTAGTGCAGGAAACTCAAGTGGAACGCACATTCCAAGGACAGGGGAATGGGTGAGGAGCCGTCAGTTGCCTGGGTCCAAATCCAGGGTTAACAGGTGGTTACATCCTCTCAATGACCTCCTCCAACATCTTACTAGAGTAAGCTTTCTCTGATCTGACTTGGTTAAATGGCAAAATATTTCAAAGTTTTAAACATCTGGAGGCAAGAATCAAGTCATTCAAGTGTCTACCTCCTATAGCGCTGGGCCTCAGATAAACTAGTCAATCAAGAAATGTGTATAAAATTTAAAAGAAAGAATTTCCATTGCCCATACAGAGGTTATCAATCACATAATCATAAACACACAGTAATAAAACTATTCTAAGCAAATTTTAATTAGCTTTTATTGATTCAGAAGATGGTTTTCTATTTTCCTTACAATCATTATTTTTAAAACCATTTCTATTCTATAACAGAGGAAAGTACAGCACAAAATAAGCATCAAAATTTACCTAATATCTTCTCTAGATACTAATTTGATTTACCAAGTTGCCACCATTACCCTATGAAGGAACACCAAAGAGGCATTTGGGGCTATTGGCAAGTGTTCAAATACCTGAGCTCAAACTTTGGCTGAAGGCGATGATAAACCCTACCCTACAGCAGCCTGAGAGAACACCTTTGGGAAGACGTGTCCAACTTAAGCCAAAGAGTCAGTGTGTTTACGCCTGCCTGAAGGAAACGTAGAAAGAATTAAAGTGACAATCAGAAATATGGTGTCACAAAGCCTATTCGCCCAAGGCAAGACTAGACAGCTTTGAACAATTTCCCCAAAGGAGTTGCTGCTTTGAACATTTGATAACCCAGCAATCAAGGAGGATTCCTTTGTGAGCAACATTCTAGAAAAATACCTTGAGGTTTCCAACTATGGAAATAAAGAATACTTGAGAGTGTTCCTAGGGGGTCAATGACACCAAGAAAGGAGTCACTGTGAGCCCTAGTTGGGAGTTGCTTTTACATCCACAGCCCCTGTGCTCTACAGAGGAAGAGAGCTGACCTAGAAGAGGAGAACCCAAAGGGAACTGCCACTCTTAGTGGTGGTGGCCACTGGAGTTGAGATAATGTCTGTTGGGAAAGAAGCCTCATTGCATGGGGGCCTCTAGCCCTTTCTGCTTTCTCTAACCCTTCATGCACCTAGAGCTCCGACCCAGCCTGAGTATCTTTGGTTATTCTTCTCATCTCAGAGAAAATTAGGTCCACAAGGAAAAAAAAAAAAAAAAGACCTAGTTGAATTTGCATTAGACTCAGAAGGGTAAAGTCACATTCAGATTCCTGTCCTAGACAGAGTCTGCCTCATTAAAGGAGCTATATGAGGCAGTAGTGAAACTGAGCAGGACCCTGTGGGGCTCCTAGCCATGGAAGCCTTATTGTGACCCCCATTTCTTGTTTGTAGGGAATAGACTTCAGCCTCTTTGACCTTCCCTGAGTTCCAAAGGGCAGATTCTGAACAGTTGCTAATCAGGGAAGGGAGGGGATGCAGAGACAAGGGAGGAGCAGTCAAGAAACAATAGTGCAGCCTTGGGGCAGGGTCTTGGTTCTGCCTCAGGGGATACACACAACAGTTATCTTCTGAGCTCTTTACAGAACTAAAACCCCCAGCAAATGGAAGATGTTAGCATTCTTCATTTCAGAGATCACAGTTTGATAATCAGAGAAGCTCATCAAGAGACCACCTGAGGCCAGATTAAAGGAGTGCAGGCCCTGCACACACCCTAATCCTTATCAGCAACTCTGCCCTTGAACCACTGCTATAAAACTCATCAAATCCTCCCAGGTTGGGACATACAGTTTTCGAGAGGCATGAACCTGCTTCCCCCTTTGCATGGCAAAGCAATAAAGCTATTCTTTTCTACTTCACCCAAAACTCTGTCTCCAAGATTTTATTTGGCACCAGTACACAGAGGCTGAGTTTTTGGCATCAGTACTACTACTACTAATATTAAAAATAATAACAACAACAACAAATGATAGTAGATAACATGTATTGAACATCTGCCATATGTCAGTCACCATATTAGGTGTTTCATATTCATTCTTTCACTTAAAACTTTCAAAAATCTTATAAGATTTTTTTCTTATATATAAAGAAAGAATGCTAGAGGATTTAAGCCTGTAAAATGTTAGATCACAGAATTTGCTTTGAGTTTTCTTGTGTGGTAAGCTAGTACTTGAACTAACTCAAACTAGGCAAAACAGAAAGGACGTTTTATGAGCTCATATAACCAAACCACTGTAGGGATCAGGCACCAGATCTCCATCTCTTGCCTCTGCTTTTCTTTGGATGTTAGTCTCTTTCTCATATATGGTACACAGGTACTCTCCAGTCGACTGGAAAAGTAGCCATTGACAGTTCCAAGTTTACCTCCTTCCAGGTTCATGACTCCAGAGAGAAAAGCCTTCTCCCTCCAATTTCAGGGTAAAGAAACACAGGGTAGGACCTGACTGGCCCAGTTTGGGCCATGTAGCCCATGTGGCCACCCTGGGAGCAACTGTTGTAGCTTAAATGTCCAGACTTGAATTACGTGAGCACCTCTATGGCCAAAAAGTCAGGGCCCTATGTCTTGCAACCCCACCAGAATCACCTGAGTAGAAAGAGAAAGAAGTTCTTTTAAGAAGGGGTGGGGAGGCATGGTTACCAGAATCAGGAATGCAGGACAGATACAAATAATATAAAGATCATGTTAAAATGCAGATTCTGATTCAGGAGGTCTGAGGCAAGGCCACAGGTCCTGCATATCTAATAAGTTCCTACAAGATGCTACAGACCACACTTTAAGTAGCAAGGCACTAACCTTCTTTCCAGTCATTGCCCACAATTATCTAACATGGTAGATGCTCTAAAGCTTAGGGCTCACCCCCAAGGACAAATGCAATCTCACATGCTTGTCTGAGTACGGTGCCTTCTCGGGACCAGCTGTGTGTCCCCGTCACAACACTGAAATAGCAGAGGTGTTGCCCGTCAGGATCGAGACATATTGGCAGAACTCCGTGATAAAAACACTTTACAATTTCATAGCACCTTTCATTCCAAAGTGTTTCAAAGCTATATACATTCAGCACCACAG